TTTTTTTTTTTTTTTTTTGGTACTGGGGATTGAACTCGGGTCCTTGCACTTCAGAGGCAAGTGGTAGAACCACTGTGCTAAATCCCCGGCCCTAGAGTTTTGATTTCTTGCCTCTCTTAGCGACTCTGTCAGCTCCTGACTCTCGGCCTTAGATCACTAGTGCCAGTCCCAGCAAACCAGTCTGCCACCTCCTCATGCGCGGGCAGCTGTATCTCTCCCTGTGTGCGGAGATGCAAGAGCCAGACAGGAAAAGCATTTTGAGTTTTGGTGGGCTGTTTTGGGTTTTGGGTTTGTTTGTTTTTTTTTCAACTTAAAGTAAAATTGTGTTCAGGAAATTAAGTCTATATGTGGCTTGACAAGCATCTGAAGGGCTTGGAAGGGCCAAATATTTCAACAAATGCCTTGGAAGCCGGGGCACCCAGTGTGTCTGTCCATGGTCTCAGTTCTCCTTTGCAACCAAAGTTTTAAATTTCACTTTGCTGCTTCCCTCAGCCTCTATTCCAGCACCTAGCATTGTGTCACAGGCAGTGATTATTGACCCAAAATGAAGTTGGGCAGAAGCCTGGCCAGGTGAAAATCTCATAGAAATTTTCCTAGGAACAGAGACCCCAGCTCTAACAGAAAGAGGAGACTGCGTTTTTTTAAGTCCATTTTGCTGAGTTAGTTGTACTGGGCCTTGTGGTTTCTGAAGAGATGAATTGACTTCACTTTATAGTAACCCTTTCACTGAGTGACTCTGCAAAAGTGTGTATCATCCTCTTACCTTCCTGGGTTGAGGAGGACATGGCTGGCTGTGCAGTATTTATAAAATTCAGCCTCTTGAGTCTTGCTTTGCGCATCTGTGAAGTAGGTTGAGATGGCTGATCTTAAGGCCCTTTGCAGTCTAAAGCTTCATTTTGACAATACTTTCTTTGATGTTTTTTTTAAATCGCGCCATACCTCCATAAGATGTTACTGTGGAATGAAAGAAAGACTGGGGAAAGGATGTACCATCTTTTTTTTTTTTTTTTTTTTTTTTTGGTACTGGGGATCAAACTCGGGTCCTTACGCTTACGAGGCAGGCGACAGAACCACTGAGCTAAATCCCCAGTCCCATCTTTATTTATTATTTGTCTTTATATCTTTTTGTTTGGTAGTAATGGGACTTCAACAAACTGACCAACCTTTATTTGGCACCTGATGTGGGGGCTCTGTGTGCATTCTCTCATTGAAAGCTTATAGCAACCTTGGGAATTCTAGATATTATCAGTACGAATGAAGAAACTGGAACCCCCAGAAAATAGGTGACTTTCCAAAATGGTCCAAACGGGATGTGATCAAGGCCAAGAGCGACAAGACTCTCGCTCTAAGCAGTAGAAACAGCACTGCCTCTAAGTGCAGATGAGTGTGCACTTTGCACAGCCCTGAAGTTCTCTTCGCTACAACCTGCCCCTTCCTACGGAGGGTCACGAGAGAGTCTAATTAATAGGCACGTTTGCGCACACTGTACAAGCAGGAGGTGTCAGAAAGAGAATCACTACATCTTGGAAGGTGTGCACGGTCTCCGAATAGGAGCTGGTGTGGCTTAGAACAGTGGGCACCAGTAGGAAGGCGCACCAGTAGACACAGAGCAGTTCCACTGTGAGGTTATTTTGCAGAACCTGGCATCCTCAGGCCACAGAGCTCTGTTCCCTTCAGAGTTCTGTCGGCGTCACTGGCTGAAGGAGGACACATGGAATAGGTTAGCCTGACTGAAGCCAAAACTCTACATTTAAAAGAAAAAAAGCAATGAAATATTCAACCTGATTCCCAGGTTTTGAGTCACCTTCTTTGTCTTCTACTTTGAGCGTCTGCTTTTGATTGCCCAGTGGCCCTGCCTGCCATTTATCTCTCCGTCAGCCTGGATCTATGTGTCATGTGACTCGAAGGGGAGATTAGAGGAGAAAAATATCTCTGGATTCTAAGCTTGGCAACTTCTATTTTTATCCACAGCTGTTGGAACTGATAGCAAAGTCACAGCTCACATCCCTGAGTGGCATCGCCCAAAAGAACTTCATGAACATTTTGGAAAAAGTGGTACTGAAAGGTGAGTTCCCGCACTCACTCAACCTTTTTACAGGCAGGGGTGGGCAGGCAGCTTTTCTGATAGAGCAGATGTGTCATTAGATTTACAGTAATGGGAATGGATTGAAACATGTCAGTCCAGCTGCACTCTGGGGCACTGGCGTCCAGTTCAGAAAAGGATGCAGTTCATGCCACATCAGAGAGCGAGACCAGCACAGGCCTGCTCTTGGGCTCATCCTTTTGCCATGCTTCAAGTCTCCTGAGGTTCTCAGGGAGGGCACACATCCTGCCCATGGGTGGTGAACCTCCTAATTCCTAGGAAATTGAACTGTTTGCAAGGCAGAGTGGATTCATAGACTGAGCTAGAGAGAAACTTAGGTCTCTGAACACACAGAGAAACTGAGGCCCGTAATGAGTGATGTGTCCACCATCACATGGAGATCAGCCAGACAGGATCAGGACCTGAGCTCCTCGCCCCCATGCGCACTGTTCCTCCTGCTTCCCACCTCTAAGCTACCTTTGCTGAGCAAAAGAAGCAGTTTTCATATCGCCTGAGCCATTGGTGCTGGCAGAACAATGGGAATAGAAAGGAGCTTTACAGAAATGAGAGAACAAAGAGGGACCTAGATAATGGAAACCTAAACCACTGGCCTGCGATGCAGCAGCCTGGCCAAGTGTAGGATAAACACCAGTGAGAAAGAAAAGCTGATCCCCAGAACCAGTGCCTGGGTAACAGGAGCAGTTGGGAAGAAGAGCTCCTTTTACAGTTCGTGGTGTGCTAGGATCATAGCTGGGTTTTTTTCTTCCCCGCTTAGTCCTTGAAGACCAGCAAAACATCAGACTGATCAGAGAACTGCTGCAGACCCTCTACACGTCCTTGTGCACGCTGGTCCAGCGCGTCGGCAAGTCAGTGCTGGTGGGGAACATCAACATGTGGGTACACCGCATGGAGACAATCCTGCACTGGCAGCAGCAGCTGAACAACATCCAGATCACCCGGGTAAGCAGGCACCACCCTGAGCAGGACAGAGGAGTCTGGTTCCACACTTTGTCCTGGTGCTGAGGGTTGGCTGGGGGCTTCCTGATAAAGGGCAGGCAGGAAGAAGAACCTGGCAAATGGAGGTCAGAGGATGTGAAAGAGGACAGCCAGCCGAAGCATTGTGGGCATGCGGGAACTTGGCTTTGGGGTCCTGAGCTTGGGATGCACAGCAGCAGCCTGGAGAGCTGGCCTGGGAGGACTGGGCAGTCAGGGTTCTAGTTCCCATGACTGCTGGTTACAGCAGAGGAAGCCCCTGACTACACGTTGCACACACGTGTAGGAAAATGATGAGCACTTAGCACTCTAGGGAAAAAGCCCTGTGTCACCAGCAAAATGCAGCTACATGTGTCAGTAGTTTCTCTTGGCTTTCAAAGTGCACCTCAGCCTCATTCACCCTTGGCTTCTGTCCTCTTGCTAGTGAGCAGGAAGACTAAGGCACACACATGCCAAGAAAAAAAAGGTGCGAAAGACATTGGAGTGCTCTCAGAGCTCACTAATGGACAAACACACTTAGATGGCTGGCGCAGCACTTCACTTACTATCTAATCACGGGTGGTGGCTGTGAGTAGTTTCCGGGACCCAGGCCGATAAAGTTCAGGCTGCACCCTGTCAGGAGAAGGCCACAAGCAGAAACCTCCCTGGCCTCTGGTCAGTAACTTTTTCGCAAGATGAAGTTTTCAAATGCGCATCCTTGACCTAAATAATAACTTCTCTGTGCCTTGATTCCTTCAGCTCCAAAACAGTGGGAACAATTAGAAGCATCCAAGTTGAGTGACTTCCTTTGAGTCCCTTAGGCAGCAGCACCAGATCACACACACTTGTGTGTACGCACACTCGTACATGTAGCACAGAGCATAAATGCAGGCCACCTTGCAGAAACCATCTCAACTATTTGATTATTCCAGGAGAATGTGTTATGAACCACTTGCCCTCTGCCCTCATCCACCTGGGCACTCACCTGGCTATGTGTACCCACATACCTTGCACTTCTGTGGGCGCTCTTCCTCATAGCCCTCCTTCGCTGGTTCCCAGACACTCTTGACAGGTGCTACTATGGTTCTGTTGCCCTTCGTGGAATGGGGCTGGGGTGGGAACTGGAGAAGCCCAGTGAGTTACCCGGCATTGCACAGCAGCTGAGACTGGAGCTGAAGTAGGAGCCCTGGCTCCTCTTCCTAAAGTGGCAAGTTCGCTTAAGTCAGCCTTGTTCCTGTCTAGCTTTCTTCAACTATTTATCCAATGATCCAGCTTTGTTTAAACCTTTTTAATCCAATGAAATCCTGCACAGAAGAGATGAGACACTGAAGTTCATGTCCTCCCTCTGCTCAGGGTGCTCCAGCCAAACCCAGCTGTTGTCTGTACTCTGAGCAAGGTCAGGAGCAAGGTCACACCTCGGGGCATCCAGCTTCCTGGTCTTCCTTAGCTGTCCAGTCTATGAAAACCACTACAATGTCCCTTTCCTTGGGTTCTGTGATCTGAAGTCCTCTCACATCTGTACTTTTCTGTCACCAAAACCCACAAAGAGGATAATACACTTGCTTTCGCCCTCTGTGGCACAAAGCAGGAAGCAGTTAGTGCATTTCAGTGGAGTGCTGCCTCACCCTGCTCCCTGCTGAAGTGCATCTTCAGGATTCTGAGGACAGTTGGAAGCATCGCCCTGGATTGTAGATAGCAAATTATTCAATCTCTCTATGCCTCACTTGGGAAAATAGGGACAATGACACCCTGGTGTGAGAGTTTGCCAATTCATCATAGAAAACAGTAGAACAGGGCCTGTAGGGATTGTAAATGTGTTGAGTGTTGTGTCATTTTGGGGTTGATGTTTTGCAGGGCCGGGAATTGAACCCAGAACTTCAGTCCTTCCAGGGAAGTGCTCTGCCACTGAGCTAACTCACCAGCCCTCAGATTTCCTATTAATAAGGGCTTGCTTTGTGCATATGCTGCTTTAAGATTTTACATGTATTGGGCTGAGGACTTAGCTCAGTGGTTCTGCCGCCTGCCTCACAAGCACAGGTCCCAAGTTCAATCCCCGGTACCAAAACAAAAAAACTTCACATGTATCAATGAATTCATCTAGTGAATAACTATAAGTAGGTCTAATAGCTAAAATTGATTGGGCGCTGTATTAAGTACAGTAGACCCTTGATTTATGAACTGGATCAGTCCCCAAGGGCAGGTCAACTCAAGTTGGTTGTAAGTCGATACAGCTGAGATATGGGTGTTTACCTGGGTACACGCTATAGATAACGAGGCAGATGAGGCTTCCATTCACCTAATGAACCCGAGTTGTCTGTATGTCAGGCCGCTTGTGACTTGAGAGTCCACCGTATTTGCATCAGTTCTCTGCTCCACCAAACAGCACTGTAAGATGTGCTTTATAAATGAGAAGATTCAGACTTCATGCTTAGGAATCCAGTCTTAAGCAGTGTCTGCCAAGGATTGATTTCAGGACCCCCTGAGGGTGCCACAACCACTTTCACGTCTCTTGTCGGTGGCATAGTGCTTGCACATAGCCTGTGCACACCCTCCTGTGTACCGTAAATCTCTAGGTCGTTCACAATACCCACTGCAGCCTAAATGCTGTATGTATTGTTTATGGAACAATAACAAGAAAAACAACCCGTTCAACATGCTCAGCATAGACACCACTTTTTTTTTTGGTTGGTTGGATCCAATGACACAGAACTCCCTGACACAGAGGGTCCCGTGTCATTTTCTGTCTAGGCCTCAACTCCATTCGGACTGGCACAGGGGTTGAACCAAGTGGGTCTGCAGAGGCTGTGGTTTTACTGCTGCTCCTGCCCACCTCCCTCCCATCCTCTGCCCCAGCCCTCCGGGCTCTGAGCTGCATCACTAAGAGCTGTGCCCAGGCCCAGGGAGCCCCATGGAGCTGTTTGTGTAAATTCCCAGCTGTGTGAAGGAGAGGGAGGACTTAATTACTTCAGTCTGAGCTGCATTTCCAAAGGTACCTTTGAACAGTTTGGCCTAAAGGAAAGTATGTTATTCCCTGAGAATACTCAGGTGACTTTCATGGTAAGCATTCTGTGTGCCAGAGTTCTGCCAGGATCTTCTAGCACATAATCGTGTTTTCCTCAAAGTTTTCATATCTAATTCTTTGGAACCAATTTTTATTGGCAAGTACAATTCATATAGTAAAGGACGAAGGAAAAAACTAACAGACCTGGTGTATGGGAGGAAAAGCAAATATAATTACAGTGCTGCGGGCAAAGCAGTGTTTTGAAATGTGGGGGGTAGGAAGATGTGAGTGGATTTGCACCAGATATTTGACTGGAGGAGCAAGAGTGATGTATTTTTCTTTTCTGTGTTTATATTCAGAAGGAAGAAAGCATGCAAGCAGTTAACTTTATCGGGAGTGGGGCTTGGCATGGGCTCTGGCCAAGGAATTTGGAAAAGTGCAGGTTTGAGTTTGACAGAGTTGGACCCTGCCAAGTGGACTTGTCTTTAATAGGAGTTAATGTAATAATTGGCCTGGGAGCTTTAACCAAAAAAGTAGAGACTTTGAAGTGCTAGAAACACAAGGACAGTCTCATGGCAGTTTTATTGGTTCGCATGCTTGGCGGCATGTGATGGGCGGCAAACACTGCCCTGTGAGGCCTGGGTGCTGCAGTGATTGGAGGCACAGCAGAAGCCGCCAAGTCATGGCCGCTTCTGACCAGCAGGAGCAGAGACTCCGAGGGTGAGAGCTACAGAGGTCTTCGGGCTTCTAAAGCTGTTCACTCATTCTGGATCTTGGGAGGCTGAGGCCCCATCCTCCCCACATCTGCCGCCTGCTTTCCAGTGTCATCTGCTCTCCTGTGTCACCTGCAGTCCCTTCTCCCGCCATGTGCCTGTCCTGCCTTGCAGGAGACACAGAGGCAGCTGCTGGGACTGAGTGGCCCTGAGTGCATTTGGTCTTTGCTGTGCCTGCTGCAATTTCTCTGCCTACAGTCTAGAGGAGACGGGCCGATACCCATTCCCTGAGCTAAGGGGAGGTTTTTCATCCTCCATGCTTTTTTTTCCTGTGACCGCTCAGAGGTCACAGAACATTGAACATTGAGCTAAAAATGTCAATCATCCAAAATCGAGAACCCACCCAGAAGTAGCAGGAAAGGACAGGGGTCTACAGTCTGGGAGGCGTGGTCTTATCTTTGGCAGATAAGATGTGCTGCTCCAGATACGTCAGCACCACTGTGGAGGCCACCTGTGCACATTGCTTGGCAGCCCTTGTGTGGCCCTGTGTGCATGTCTGAAACGTGCTGTGCTAGAATGGCTTGCATAGGTCAGGGACCTGCCAGTCTAAAGAGCTCATCGCTGAAGCTCCAGCAGTAGGCCACAGTAGGCTTAGGCCCGTGGAGGCTGGGCCGGCACACACGCATGCAGGTATGCGTGCATACACTTACCACATGTGCAGAAACACCTGTGCAGCACAGAATCTTCATGTCGTTCTTTTTTTGCCCTTTTAATTATTTGGGTTTCATTCATTTCACTCAGTTCATACTTATTGAGTGCCTACTACGCTCCAAGCACTCTTCTGGAAACTGGGAACCCAGCAGTGGAACGAAATAAAAATTCTTGCCTCCGTGAACCTTAATTTCTAACAGCAGTATTCCACTCAGAGTTTTGTTTAGAAAGGGGTTGTATTGCGTAAAAAGAGGGTGTTACAGAAAGTGTCTAGGAGATAGCAGGGGTTCAGGAAAGAGCAGTGAATAGGCATAGGGGAAGCAAAAGCAAATGAGGCTCTTGAGTGGTGTGGCTTGCACTGGGTCCAGGGACAAGAGGGGACCACAGCAGGCCCATGTGTGCAAAGGGGAATTTGGGTGGTGGAGAGCAAACCTGCATGGAAGACTCTCAGGTCACAGGGACAGGGAGATGGGAGTGGGTGCCGCTGGGCACTCTCCGCGAGCGACACCTTGGGGAAGGTAGCACATCTCATAACTGGGTGGTGAACTAGCGAAGCACAAGAATCCAGTGTGTGCCGTTTGCAGAATCGTTCAGGGTAAAGCAGAACTCTTTGTGGTTCTTAGGAAATCCCTCTGGCGCCATTCAGGGCCTGCCTCACTCCAAGTCCCAGCCATGGGTCCGGGCCCACACGTAGGATGGGGATGGTCACCACTTTACCTCCGTGAGCCAGCTCAAGGACACAGGAGCCTTGCAGGAGTCCCTGCAGAGTGGGTGCTCTCTGACTCCACTCGCTGCCCTCTTCCCCACAGCCTGCCTTCCGAGGCCTCACATTCACCGACCTGCCTCTGTGCTTGCAACTGAACATCATGCAGAGACTGAGTGATGGGCGTGACCTGGTCAGCTTGGGCCAGGTGGCCCCCGAGCTGCACGTGCTCAGCGAGGACCGGCTACTGTGGAAGAGACTTTGCCAGTACCACTTCTCCGAGCGGCAGGTGAGTGGGCCCAGAAGCCCCCCTCAAAATTCTCCCTTCTCTGCCCTAATCCCAGGCACCCTTCTCAGTGTGCCTGCTGGCTGCTTGCCTGGAAGGACAGCCTAGGGCAGTGATGGCAAACCTTTTAGAGCTTTCAACAACACAAATGCTCCACTGTGGCACATGTGCCGTAGGTTCGCCACCACTAGCTGAAGGAATTTCTAAATGAAGGGGTGAGGTGGTTTCTTATTTTTAGGTAGTTTTGATGAAAACAAAACTTGCATTCTTAGTCTAATTATATTTTACAACACAAAAAATTCACAAATAGGCATGCATCCTTTCCCAAAAAAATCATATACATTTTTATGGTATTTTTTATCCAAGTGCTTTTGCAGATATTATTTCATGGGATCTGCATAACCCGGGAATGATAGGTATCATCATGCCCATGTTAAACAGATGAAGAAACTAGGGCAACCACTGGCTAAGTGGGATATCCACGTTAGTGAGGCAGCTTCCCAGGCAAGGTAACTGGTGCTAAACTTGAATTCTGACCTTCAGACACTCTTTGTCACTTTGTTGCTGGGACAAAATACTCAACATCCACAACTTAAAGGAGGAGAGGCTTATTTTGGTTCAGTTACAACTCATGGTTGGCTGGCTCCCAAGCAGAAGCAGCACAATGAAAGGGCCTGCCAGAGAAAAGCTGCTTGCCTCATGGTGGCCCAGAAGCAGAGAAGCGGGGAGAAGCCAGGGAGGGAGATGCACCCTCCCTGTAACCACCTGAGTCACTCCTGGTAACCACCTCTTTTCTGAGACCCTGTGTCTCACAGCACACTCAATACAAACTCAGCACTGATGAACACAGCACACCACCATGCAGTCCCCTTCCAGAAGCCTCACCTCCAAGCACAGGAGGGTTTGGGGGGACAGTCCAGGTCTAGAGCATAACAGACCAACTCGGGGATTGCTCCCTCCTGGCATGCTGCTTTGCATTTATTTTTCCAATCTCATACATGTGTGTGAACTCAGTAGATTCTGCTCATGAAGCCACTGATAACTAAACACAATAGAGACATACTGCCAAGCAGTCACTGTCTCTCTGGAAATACTTAATTCGATTGCAGAGAAAAGATTGAAATAGCTAATGGAGATGACCTATACTTTAAAGGACCATCCAAGACGAGTAGAGGCCACTAGGGAGATGTCAGCAGCCACCTACTTAATGACTGAAAGCTATTGTGTAACTGGGGAGAGTTGAGGACGCACTTAATGTAGATCTTGACAGTTTTCCTCCCTGGCTATTGTAGAGATTTTTTAAAGGAGAGAAAGGGTGAGGAGGGTGGGAGTAAACCTTTTCAGATTCAGAAAAACCCACAAGCCATCCTCTTAATAAATTCTCCTGCAATTATTTTTATCCATTTTAATTTTTAGATCCGCAAGCGATTAATTTTGTCAGACAAAGGGCAGTTGGATTGGAAGAAGATGTATTTTAAGCTTATCCGATGTTACCCAAGGAAAGAGCAGTATGGAGACACTCTCCAGCTTTGCAAACACTGTCACATTCTCTCCTGGAAGGTATGTGTCTCAGGTGACTGTCAGTGACCCCTGGCCGAGTCCCTAAGAGTTATAGAGCCAGCAGTAGGAAATTGAATCCTCTGTTTTTTTCTGTCTCAGCCCCACGTCTAGGAGAGGGTAAAACTGCTTCAGGGCCTGGACAGGAGAGACTTTGAAAGACCTTCCTTACCTTATTTTTCTCTGTAGCCCCTCACCCCTGGATGCTCCTAGCTCTGTGTGCACAGGTGATACACAGGCAAACATAGCTCTTTAGTTTTTCCATGCTGTAGCATTCTTGACAGAGAATTTCTCTGAAGTTGGGCAATGCCGTTTGGCACCAAAATTCAGGGAGATGCCTATTCAAACTCAGACCTGACTGGAATCTTCCTTTCCAGGGCACTGACCATCCATGCACAGCCAACAACCCAGAGAGCTGCTCTGTTTCCCTTTCACCCCAGGACTTTATCAACTTATTCAAGTTCTGATCTCAGCACGCCTTGGCGTTGACTGGATGGCTAGGAGCGTGGAGCTTGGACACTTCATTTGTAAATAGTGTACGTTCTAAACATTGGCTTGAAACTTCTGAGATTAGTCACCAAGAAGACGCTGGAGGGGACGGTGCATTTGCTGACGGGAATTTAAGAATGTGAATTTCACAACTGGTATGGAAAAGCAAAAATACTGTAAATAAACTTTTTTCCTAACAATTTACCAGAAAGACTATAAGGGCAAGAATTCTGTGTCAACCATGAAAATGGAATTCTCTCAATGTTCAAGGAAACACCTTTGTATAGTTGTTCCCTAGGAAGAAATAGGCAAAACTTAAATACAAGGTAGAATGCTCTTTGTTTACAATGTGAAAGTTTGTTTAGACAAAAAACAAGAAAGTCAAACATACAAACTACATAGGAGTAGTCCTGAGGCTTTTGGTTTGGATTGTGTGTATCACAAAGGCAAAGAGACAGCTCGCCCCTGAAGTGCACAGCAAAGGCCTCGTCCCATGAAGATGTCACACAGTGGTCCACCTCTGAGAGCACAGAAGCGCTCTTAACAGCATGCATCACCTGGGAGGCCGTGTCTGTGTTTCTTGAAAGGTTTTTTTATCACTATAAAAAGTGATTTAAAATGAAAAAGATATTGGAAGCAATCCTCATCTTGTTTCAGACTTCCTTTTTAGGCAAAGAGGGCCCTGTTTGGAGTTTGATCCTTCCTAAAACGGTCTGAACAGTACATGTGCCTTTTTTTCCTTTCTCTTTGGAGCTCACTTGGGAGCTAATTGAGAACAGCTCCAGAGAAGTCCAGACTGCAGAAAACAGAACTGGGCACCTCACAGATGTGAAGACTTCCTTCTTCCAGTTTGACTTCCAGGCTCTTCTGGCTTCCTCGGATAGCTTCATGGATAAGCAGTATCTGTGAACTGACTGGAGCCCAGTGCCAAGGCTGGGGAGATGGACAGGCTTTCCATTTTGGCCAATAAAATGTTTTGCCAGCTGCTGTTCCCCCTTGGCAGGGTGAAGAACTGAGGAGCTTTCTTTTAAGTCCAACATCAAAATTGAGTCAATATGAGCAAGGGCCTTTTTTCAAGGGTGATTAAAAACGAAGCCTGCAGTTCAGGCCAAAGAGGTGAATGAGTTCATCTTAAAACTTGCTTCAGGGATAGATCATTAAGGACAGAGTTAAAACAGATTCCAGGGGATCTTGCGGGGCAAATTTTAGCAGATCACTGTGGAAGAAAGGAAATCTCAGGATCTAACATGTTATCAGCATGGAAGACAGTTGGGAATGTTTTTGTGTTTTTTTACTTTTTATAGATTGTTGCTTTTCTACAACAATGTACATATATTTGCAGTTGTATTTGGTTTATGTCCCCAAAGTTTCCACCCTGCATGCCTTTGGCAAATAAGTGAAGCAGAAATAGGAACTTGGTTTTGCATTCACTTTGACCCATAAGCATTGACATGGGAGGAGGGAAAGATAACTGAGCATGTGCAGAAACAAGGAAGGGACAGCTAGTGATCTACACTTTCCCATCCTTTCTCCAGTACCATAACCACCCGCAGGTCAGCTCTGAAGAGACGCAGACTTAGTGTTCCTCACTTCGCAGTATTTGTGCAGGATTTCTCAATATTTCTTTCATTATCATCCCCCTGAGAAGGAAAAAAAAAAAAAAAACCTAAACTGAGTTTAAATTGTCCCTAATGAGAAAAATGAAATGTGAATAGTTTTTGTTTAACAAGGTTGAGTTTGGAAGGCCACAAGCCATGGTCACAGCTAAGGAGGTGGTTTTTTGAGGGGGGGGTTGTTTTTTGTTTTTTCTTCTCTGAATCAATTTTATGTTGAGAATTCAGGCCATAGACTTAAATAGAAAGCTACTTTAGGACCAGGAATTTAGCTCAGTGATTCCACCACCTGCCTTGCAAGCGCAAGGACCCGAGATCAATCCTCAATACCAAAGAAAGAAGAAATTCGTTTATAATTTTCAAGTTTTCTCAAATACTTCCTCAACCGTATGTACCAGAGCTGTGTCTACCGTTGATGTGGAAAAGCTCTGGAAACTTTTAGGATTAGGGATTCATGGCCTTTCACATTTTCCCACCAACTCCTGACCTCTGCTCCACTGTGTGTCAAGGGATGGAAAGTCCATATGGCAGCACCTGCAGGTTCTCAGGTCCAGAAGCCTTGCCTGCTTTGGACTGTCAGCACAAAACCACTGGAAAACCAGTCACAAAGTGTGAGCAGTGAACACATTTCACATCCCCACCACCACCAGCAACAACCTGTATAGTTGCAAAATGACCCCACCCCAAGGGACAGGGCTACAGTTTTCTGAAATATCTACCAAGATGGTGCCAGTGGATTCTCCCCACATTCTTTGGTTATTAGCGGATGTGGTGTTTAAAAGTCAAGAAAATTTTCTAAAGATGAAAAAGAAGAAACCAACATTTATAGGATTCTTTCATTGGAAGAGGAGCATAAGGAAAAAAATGGCAGGTGGAGAGGGAGAGGGAATGGAATAGAAATATTGTCTTTGATACTATGGATTGGGTGGGGACAGTGGAAAAGCAGAGCAGGCAGAGTATGCGTTTAGCCGTGTGGTTTCTATGAGGCATGACCAGAGCCTCACATACAAGTATATGTGAGCGCAATGAGTTAAGGTTCCCGCTCATAGGTCACTAACCTACCGAATTCTATTGGCAAACCCATCCAGAACAGCCTGGCCTAAAAAACAAAAACAAACAAGTCCTGTTTCAGAACTCCTGGTGTAAAAGCGAGCCCAGGCACGGTGGTAGAAATTGCTGAAGTAGTAGAATGCCATACTCTTTTCTTTATCTGCCTGTCTCCATCCTCTACCCAGTAAAGCAGAACGAGAAATTGGTGTCCATTATGCAGGAACTCCAACTTCCAGAGAAAGGGGCTCTGACCAAGCTGTGAGGGCAAATCTGCAGAGATGCTACAGTTTGGTCCAGCTCAGAGGTTCTCAGAAGTGTGAAGTCTCTTCAGACAGATGCCCAGCATTTGTGGAAAGGAGAATAATAAAGTTGAGAAGAGCTCCCTTTATGGCAAGATCCAGCAAAAAACTCCAGTGATATTTTAAATGAGATTACATTACTCAATGCTGTTACTATGAGCAAATGAAACAGTTGAATGGGTGATAAAAAAGAAAAAGGAAGGGGCCAGGGATTTAGCTCAGCGGTTCAGTGGCCTGCCTTGCAAGCGCAAGGACCCAAGTTCAATCCCCAGTACCAAAAAAAAAGATTACAAGGTCAAAAATTCTCCAGTGGTGAGCTGATGTTTGGTAGTGATAATTTCATATTGAAGGAGTTTTTACACTGCAGAAAGTTTTCTGAAATATCTACCAAGATGGTGCCAGTGGATTCTCCCCACATTCTTTGGTTATTAGCGGATGTGGTGTTTAAAAGTCAAGAAAATTTTCTAAAGATGAAAAAGAAGAAACCAACATTTATAGGATTCTTTCATTGGAAGAGGAGCATAAGGAAAAAAATGGCAGGTGGAGAGGGAGAGGGAATGGAATAGAAATATTGTCTTTGATACTATGGATTGGGTGGGGACAGTGGAAAAGCAGAGCAGGCAGAGTATGCGTTTAGCCGTGTGGTTTCTATGAGGCATGACCAGAGCCTCACATACAAGTATATGTGAGCGCAATGAGTTAAGGTTCCCGCTCATAGGTCACTAACCTACCGAATTCTATTGGCAAACCCATCCAGAACAGCCTGGCCTAAAAAACAAAAACAAACAAGTCCTGTTTCAGAACTCCTGGTGTAAAAGCGAGCCCAGGCACGGTGGTAGAAATTGCTGAAGTAGTAGAATGCCATACTCTTTTCTTTATCTGCCTGTCTCCATCCTCTACCCAGTAAAGCAGAACGAGAAATTGGTGTCCATTATGCAGGAACTCCAACTTCCAGAGAAAGGGGCTCTGACCAAGCTGTGAGGGCAAATCTGCAGAGATGCTACAGTTTGGTCCAGCTCAGAGGTTCTCAGAAGTGTGAAGTCTCTTCAGACAGATGCCCAGCATTTGTGGAAAGGAGAATAATAAAGTTGAGAAGAGCTCCCTTTATGGCAAGATCCAGCAAAAAACTCCAGTGATATTTTAAATGAGATTACATTACTCAATGCTGTTACTATGAGCAAATGAAACAGTTGAATGGGTGATAAAAAAGAAAAAGGAAGGGGCCAGGGATTTAGCTCAGCGGTTCAGTGGCCTGCCTTGCAAGCGCAAGGACCCAAGTTCAATCCCCAGTACCAAAAAAAAAGATTACAAGGTCAAAAATTCTCCAGTGGTGAGCTGATGTTTGGTAGTGATAATTTCATATTGAAGGAGTTTTTACACTGCAGAAATCTCAAAACGAGTAGATTCTACTTGGAACTGTGAAGTAAGGTGGAGGGTATGTATTGTTCCTGCCACAGTGCTCATCTTTTGAGGGTCACAAAGCTGCTCATAAGGAGCTTGCAATCAATACAGGGTCTTTGCATCTGTTTTTATATAGGAGAACAGAAAGAGCTTGGAATTTCTTTTGTCTAAGCAAGTTGTCAGATTTACAAGGAATTTAAATCATTGCTAGAGATGTTCAACAGTATCTGTCTTAGTATTCAGTACAGTGTTTATTATAAAATAAGCCCGTGAGTTTATATTTTTTTTCTTCCAGGCTATAGGGTAATAATTTCTTGCTATGCAAACACTCTATTTTATGTGTGAAATTTTTAACTAATTTTATGTGTGCATTTTTAAACTAAATTCTACCATCCTTTTCTATGTTGACATCTGTTGGGTTTTTTTTTAATGTTTCCAACTATTTGTATCTGTAAACCATCTCCTCTGACTGAATGCTGGCCTGAAACACTGTTAGTACTTAAACAGACCTCAGAAATACCCTGGACCTCTAGGCAAAGGAGAGAAACTGCTCTTGGATACATCCTGGGTCCTTGATGTTCCAACAAACAAGGTCATAACTCCTTTGAACTTGATTGGGGAGATAGGTATGTTCTCTGTTCTGTCAAGGAGGGTAAAACATCTATGGTTTTCCAAATGAAGGGAACTTCTACCTGACTGCAGACCTGGAAGGGTGGTTAGAGAGGGGAGAATCTGACGCTTCCACCTTCACGTGAGATGAGGCAGTGTCTCCAGTGTTAGGGGACAAGCCTTGGCTCCACTGGCCCAGGGTGGCAGAATGAATGGGAACCTGGGCGTCTCGAGATCCGATCTTGTTGCCCATCACCGAGTACCTTGTGGCACAGCTGCAGACAAGTTGTGCTCCTGAGATTCCTCTCAGGATCCTCACCATGATGGGCTGCCTCACAGAGATCTGGCCGTTAAGTCTCCCAAGCCTTTTAAGTCCCTGATTCTAACTGGAGTCAAGGAACCACTTGTAGATCTGTGAGCACAGCGTTCTAGTGAGTACAGCTTGTGTGCTAAAGTACACAGCATATTTTGACAAACTCTTTTTTCCCTCGGGTACTTAATCACAAAGGTAGCTTTCATTTTAAAAGGTAAGAGCTGAGCAGTGCTTGTTTTCTAGAAATGGAGGTTCTGATAACAACCAGCAGACATCTCCTATTTGCCTGGACCAAGAGGTACACTTAACTTCGTCCGTCCTGTCTGCTCCTGTCACCACCTCAGCTGCAAGACTGCAGTGGGTGTTCTCTGTTCAGCCTCGTCTTTATCAAGACATGAGTCTGTTCCACAAGGCTGCAGTCAATGTCCGCTGCCATCTTTCAAAGTGTCCTTGACCTCAGCAAAGCTCTCAGAACTTAGGCCCTGCTCCATTTGGCCAGAAAGTGGGTGGCTGCTCCAAAATTCTGCTCTTCTTTAAGCTCCATCTGCTACTTTTGGAGTTTGAGTAACTTTCCTTGTCTTTGAGTACAGCTGTGTTTAGTTGGTGATGCACAAGTCTGTTAGAGCTCCAACCCCTGCTCTGAGCTGAGAGCCTTTGGCACCACCTTGATCCTATCAGGTGCCAGTCACCCAGCTGAAGGGCATGTATATTATAGTCTGTGTCCTAAGCTTAGAAGCTTTGATGTACTTTTTTAATAAGAACTATTACAGGATTGAACATTGTAACAAAGTATAAGATTAGACCAATACGTACAGAGATGTGTATTTAATATTGTGTGAGTTGTCCTGTATAAATTATTTGCACACTTTTCTTGCATGATGAACTGATTTTTACAGTTGTTTGTACCAGACAGTGGCATATTTTTGTAAAAAATTTTTGACACTGAATTGCAATAAATGTTTTTCCAACAACACACACTGGTGTACTTTTGGTGTATGTCAGTTTAACTCAGCTTTCTAACATAATATGTTCATCTTTGCATGTTGAGATTTATATTCCTTCTCTCAGAAACTCACCATCATCACAATGTCATAAAATTTCTGGGGATGCAAAGAAAATAAGCTTATTGCCAAATACTTGCCAGAGCAGCATTTTAGTTAGATGGAATATTTCTGTGTGCACTGATCAGGAAAAATTAATGTGATCAGTATGAATCTACACATTGGGCATTTATGGAGCACTTCTTATATGCTAGACTTGTACAAAGCACTGGGAACGACAGTGATTCACAAGACAGAAATGGGCCCTGCCTTAGTGGAACTTAGATTCTAGTCAGAAAGACTGCAAGATGCAAGTGAATAATCTTTAGTAAGTGTTAGG